CACCTTTAATCTCCGCCTTCAGGAGGCAAAGGCACGTGAATCTCAGTGAATCTGAGGCCAACCCGGTCTATATACAGCGAGTTCCAGCCAACCAGGATTACCTAGTGAGAACCTGTCTCAAAAGAAACAAACAAAAACCCCCAAGAGTTAATAAGGACAAAATTAGCCTCCATCCCTCCCTGGCTCCTCATTTTTCTCTCTTCCAGAAATGTCTCTATGTACAAGCACATCCCAGCTCCTTCTTTCACAGAGAATAGCATATCGTACAGATTGTTCTGTAGCTGGTGGGTTTTCCCTCTTAATATATCCTAGAGACCTTGCTATTTTTGTAGTTGCCTAGGATCCTTTTATGACACTGATGATCTCTCTAACATGTTCCCACCCCAAGGCCTGCTGCAATGATTGTTCTTGGACTCGTATTTCTGTACATAGATGTTCATCCATTTGCGAGACAGCTTCTTAGAGCTGGCTCCAAAGCATCCTTAGCTTGTCCCCAGCTTTGGGGTTCTCAAATAGTGTCTTGAAAGAAGTCTGATAATCTTGACTAAGAGCCTCTTGTAAGAACCACTGGAGGGCCAGGCCTTTAATCCCAACCTTCGGGAGGCAGAGGCAGGCAGATCTCTGTGAGTTCGGGGCCAGCCTGGTCTACAAGAGCTAGTTTCAGGACAGGCTCCAACGCTACAGAGAAACCCTGTCTTGACAAACAAACAGACAACCAAAGAACCACTGGGAGGATCAAAGGTTCCTTCAAGGCCAGCCTGGGCAACTTAGTGAGACTCTGTCTCAAACAAAGAGCACTGGGAGCTCTTGCTCAGTGGGAACCCGGGTAGAAAAAAAGGGTGGGGGGAGGTGTGTGGGAAGAAAGGGAGCTTCGACCCTTTAGTTGAGTGTCAGGACTGTAAGTAAAAGTCCTGTTAGCCTGAGCCCTATGCTAGGCTTCCTTCTCCATCATCTCTGTAGCCGCAGGCTGCTGCAGACAGACCCTGAGCCCAGGTCCCTCAGTCTTTGACTGGGAGATTGGCTTTAGGAGCGTGACTTTGGTGTGTGCAGCCTGGATCGGTCTCGGCCCTATATTCTCTCCTTCCCTTTGCTGTTCTTTGCCTGGTGGCCTTGGCCTGGACACCTTACCCCTAACCTGCGCCCTCCTCTGTGTTCTGACCAGGAGTCGCAGCACAGGCTTTTGTCTCTTGTTATCCAGCTCCTCCGTTCTGTCTGGCTTCTCCCACGCCCACTGCCCTACTCCGTCCACTTGAGCTCAGTCTGGCCTAGCACTTAAAGAGTCCTTTGGAGTCACACTGACTTACGACTTTGCTCCTCTGGCCTTCCGTGTCCTCAGCTGTAAGACAGAGGTAATAATACCGCTGCCCTCCCACGCTGACAGAGCTGTCACATAGCAAGCCCACGAGAAATGCTAGCAGCCGCCGCTATTATTAGTGTTATCTCACATTCCCATCCCCGCTTCCACAATTTTGGATTTGGAGAAGCTGCTTGGGCGGGAGAAAAGCTCCAGCTCCCTCTCTCTTGTGTGTCCCTCAGCTTTGGTTGGTCAGAGAATACAAGGGCCTGTGGTGTAACCTGGTCTTGTGGGAAGAATGGCTGTCTATGGTCTTTCGAAAACTCCCCCCAAACTCAGAGACTAAAGCTGTTAGAGATTCTGTGTGTTGCTTGGTGGCTCTCATCTTGTTTCCTGGGGACTCACTGGCTACATACGTCCAGTAGCTAAGAAGTATAGAAAGCCCAGAATGTCCATGGGTGCTCCTTTTGGCTTCCAGGCCCTAGTTCACCTGTCCTCCTCCGGACTAGCCTGGGCTTAGAAGTCTCAGATCTGCTCTGAAGGCCGAGGCTCCAGAATTCGGCTGACTTGATTTCTACCTCATCCTGTCAAGACAAGTCACAAAGCCAGCTACCACAAGCGGTGGGGGAGTGACCTATGCCTGCTGTTGGAAGAGGCAGCAGGGTAGAATAGCCGATTCTGCCACCTGCCCTCTCTGAATTCCAGTACATGTGCACAAAAAAGAAGCAGAGGCTTTCATTCCAGTTATTTGGGAGACTGAGGTAGAAGAATCACGGCTTCTCTGGTCTTCAGTATGACTTCAAGATCTGCCTGGGCAAGTGAGCAAGGCCCTGTTTTAAGTTGGAAACTTAAAAAGAGGGTTGACTATAGCTCATCAGTAGAGCCCCTGCCTAGAATCCCCCAGAGAGGGGCTAGGGTGTGGCTCAGTGGTGGAGCCCCTACCTAGAATCCCCCAGTGAAGGGCTGGGGTGTGTCTCAGGGATAGAGCCCCTGCCTAGAATCCCCCAGTGAGGAGTTGAGGTGTGACTCAGTGGTAGAGCCCCTTCCTAGAATCTCCCAGTGAGGAGTTGAGGTGTGACTCAGTGGTAGAGCCCCTTCCTAGAATCTCCCAGTGAGGAGTTGAGGAGTTGAGGTGTGACTCAGTGGTAGAGTGCCTGCTTAGCATGCCAAGGCCCTAGATTCAATCCCCAGCTTTGCGGAAAAAAAAAAAATTAACAATACTCACTTTGTTATAGACTTCTGTGAAGATTTAAAGCCAAATAATCTGGGGCCAGTGAGAGGGATCAGAAGCCAAAGGCGCTTGCTGAAAAGCCCAAGAACCCAAGTTTGATCCCTGGAACCCATATGAAGGTGGAAGGAGAGAACAAACTCCACAGAGTTGTCCTCTGACCTATACATGTGTGCTATGCATGCATGCCTTTCTCCATTGTGTACACACACACATCCTTTAACTCACGGAGATCTGCTTGCCTCTGCCTCCTCCCCAGTGACGGGATTAGAGGTGTGTGCCACTACTGCCTGGCTAATGATAAATAATTTTTTCAAGTCAAGTAATCTAAAGATTACACACAGGACAGGGAAGGAGGGAGGGGTCTATCTCATGGTAAACATCGTAAATATTATTACCAAAGAGTTCTCTCCTGGGTATTTCCTGAGTCCTAAATTCTTTTGTGTAAAGGGACACTGTCCTGCCTCTCATTTAGACTATCACTGCCTAGGTAAGTTACATTTTTATTGCAGTGGCCTCCAGATGCCCTTGCTCTGCTGGTACCCTGGAAGGCTCTCTGCCTCCTTGTTTCTTTGTAATGCTGAGATCAGTAAAGTCTACTTGTGACCCTCAAAAGTAGCCTTCAGTGTAACCACTGAAGGTGACACATACGCCTATAACCCTAGAATTCAGAAAACTGAGACAGGAGAATTGTGAGTTTGAGGGCATCGTCTTCAATCCCAGTTCAGGTGACAGGCAGGAGGATCTCTGTGGGTTTGGGGGCTAGCCTGGTCTACATACAGAGACCTTGTCTCTAAAACAAAACCAAGAACACTGTCTATTCTTTCAGAAACCTGAGTTTGGTTGCCAGCACCCACGTGGTATCTTACAGTCGTCCATAACTTCAGTTCTAGGGGATCCAATGCCCTCTTCTGACTTTTTTGGGCTCCAGGCAAGTACATGGTACACAGATGTACAGGCAGGCAAAACACCCATATGCATAAAATTTTTAAAATCTCAAAACAACACCTACAAAAGACCATCCACACAGCAAAAAGCCGGAGATTGCAAACTGGCAGGTGTGTTCATGTGGCCTAAAAAAAAAGGTATTAGAATTTGAATGAGTCGCTGACATTCATAATCAGGGGATTTTACAGAACAATCCAGGCTTCCAAATTCTCTTGCAGTTTTACCATCTGGCGTGTCATGCCTGCCTGCCTCATGGCAGCCCGGGCTAGAGCGAAATCCTGGTGAGGGATACTCTCGTGGGCCACATTGGTGGCTCGTAAAGTTGGTTTAGCGAGTCACTGCTGGCTGTGCGGTGGGGGTGGGGGATGAAGAACTCGAAATTTAAATTACCCATGTATGCGGCAACAGAGAGCAATGCTGTCTGGTGGAAGCGGACAGGGTCGTGTGTGTACTTGTCCGTGTAAAATGGATGAGTTGAGTAAGATGTGTCGGAAGAGAATCTTGAAAGCTCCATTCTAATTTGATGCCAGCCCATTCTGAGTCCCTCCAGCGTCCCCCCTTTCTCGTAGGCGTTTTGGTTGGAGTCTCATAAGGGGCTGCAGAGCCCAGAGATGCATCCCCAAGCCCCTCGGCTTTCAGGCCCACTCTCCACTCACAGCATGTATTTTATTCTATTTTGTTTGGGTTTTTGAGACAGGGTTTCTCTGTGCGACTTTGGAGCCTGTCCTATAACTCACTCTGTAGACCAGGATGGTTTCGAACTCAGAGATCCGCCTGCCTCTGCATCCTGAGTGCTGGGGTTAAGGGTGTGCATCACCACCGCCCGGCCACTCATAGAGTTTCCAAATGAAGGATATGTGCCTTAGCCAGGTATGGTCGCACACACTTGGGCAGAAGCAGGAGGATCAGAAGTTCAAGGCTGCTCTTATCTATACATTGGGTTTAGAGATAGCCTGGACGATGTGAGAGGAAGTCTCAAAAAACCAGCACACAGGGCTTGGGAGACAGCTCAGCCTGGCTCATCCTAATGCCTGGGAGGCAGAGTCAGGCAGATCCCGGGGGCTTGCAAGCTACTCTGCCCACCTTACTCTACCTATTCTGGGCCAAGCGTAGACACTGTCTCAATAAAACAAACAAACAAACAAACAAACAAACAAAAAAGGCAGATGGGAAGGCTGGAGAGGTGACTCCGCAGTTCCCAGCACTACATGGTAGCTCTCAGCCATCTGAGTTCCAAGGCATCCGATACTCTCTCGCCTTTGCTGGCAGCAGGCATGTACATGGTACACAGACACACATGCAGGCCAAAATCATACATACAAAATAAAATTAAAAAAAGAAAGATCAAAGCTCCTGAGGAGTGACACCTGGGTTGTCCTCCAGCCTCCCCACATGCGACCACACAACAAACAAAAAGCGGACAAGCATGCAGTGGTTCTGTCATCCACAGCTCTGGTCCTGGGCCCCAGGATCCCTGACTCAGCCCCCAAGTTCTCAGTCTCTGACCTCTGCTCTCTCTTGCCCACCCAGGAGAACCCGTATGTCATGCGCAGGCCTAACTTCCAGGCCTTGTCTGGGAACGAGCGCTTCGAGGGCTTCTGCGTGGACATGCTTCGGGAGCTGGCGGAGCTACTGCGCTTCCGGTATCGCCTGCGGTTGGTAGAGGATGGACTGTACGGGGCACCTGAGCCAAATGGCTCCTGGACAGGCATGGTTGGCGAGCTCATCAACCGGGTATGGCTGGCGGGGGGCTGGGAAAGGAGGAAGGGCAGGTGGGGCCAGATCAGCACAAAGCAAGAGAAACAGGCGAAAGGTTGATGGTGTGCTAAGTTACCTTTGCCCTGAGTGCCTCGGGGCCAGGTAGAAAAAGCACAGCATTGTGTCAGTCACCTCCTGTGTTTTTGCCAGATGCTCCTCTTATGTTCAGAGGTTTGATGAGTGAATGACTGTGACATGGAGTAGGAATCAGGTAGCCTGAAGTCATCAAGGGGTGCGTCCTCTAGGAGGCAAGACCAAGAGCGAGGACTGCTCTCTGCCCGGTTCCATTGGGAAGGCCTGGCTCACTTCAGGCCCCAAGAGTTGTCTTCTGGGGCTGAACGTGTGGCTCAGTTGGTAGAGGGCATGTATAGCATGCTGGAGACCCCAGACTCGATCCATGTAAACCAGGCGTGGTGGTGCAGGCCAGAAATCCTGGCACTGGAGAGGTGGAGGCAGGAGGATTCAAGGTCATTCTACATTCCGTTGCAAGTTTGAGGCCAGCTGGGGTTATGTCACCTGAGATCTTGTTGCAGAACCAACTAAACAAAAATCCAGAGCTGTCCGTCGGCTCAACCTTTCCTCGGTAGGTGTGTGTGGAACACCAGCTCTGTGTCCTGCTCTGTGTTGGATTCAGTGAGCAGACACTTTGCTCCCAAGAACTTAGAGTCTCGTTAGGGTCCAGGAGCAAGTTACCACCGTGGTTTCTGATTTAGAAAATTCATAGGAGAGACCCAGAGCAGACCCCTGACTCTAACTCTGCACTCGGGGCTTTTCCTGAAAAGATGCTGCTGCCTGAAGTGATGGACCGGCGGGGCAGGGGGTGGGGGCATCAACAGGAAATCAGGTCTTGAGACACACACCTGTTCCCTGATCACAGGGCAGGCTGTGGGGAAAGATCAGAGGTTTAAGCTAGCCCAGGCTGCAGGGCGAGACTCTCACGGTGGCATACACGGGTCCAAGGCAGGAGGATTACCAACACCAATCTCGTGGTGATTTCCAGACCAGCCAAGGCTACATAATAAGACCCTGTCTCAAAAAAAACCAACCAATCTCCCTCAAAGAAAAAGAAAGGATGGGGCTGGAGAGATGATTCAGCAGGTAAGAACACTGGCTACTCTTCCAGAGGACCTGGGTTCAGTTCCCAGCACCCACATGGTAGCTCACAACTGTCTGTAACTCCACTTCTAAGGGATCTGATGCCCTCACACAGGCACACATGCAGCCAAAATACCAATGCATATAAAGTAAATAAATCTTTGAACAAATGAAAGGCGTGAAAAAGTTGGGAGGTGAGGAAGTGCTGAGGAGCAGAGGGAACATGGTTTGTAGAGGGGGAGCCCTCTGAGTGAGCCAGCTGGGCCTGCCTGTGCGTGGGAAGTGCTTCATGAAGGTAAGGAGGGAGAAGAGGCAGGAGTGAGAGGTGGGAGGCAAGGGCACAGTGGAGAGAATATTCTGGAGTCTGACCAACCTGGACTGGAGTCCTTAGATGGATCTTTTCCCAACTCCAAACTCCATTTTCCCCTTTCCTAAGATGGGGGTAATACCCGCCAGGCCTGTAGTGAGGATCCCAGGCCTCATGCAAACTCGTCGCATGCTGCCTGTCGGACAGCGGGACTGTGGAGTTTTCTCTCCCCATTTTATGTGTGTGTGTGTTCAGTGGATGTGTGTTTCTAGATGTGTGTGCACATGTGTGTATGCATGCAGAAGCCTCAGTAGCTCAAGCTGATCTTTTTTATTTTATTTTACTTTTTTCTGAGACAGGTTCTCTGTGTAGCCCTGACTATCCTGGAACTCTGTAGACCAGGCTGGCCTTAAACCCACAGACTTGCCTGCCTCTGCCTCTCAAATGCTGGGTTAAAGGCGTGCGCCACTACACCCCACTTCAGGCTGCCCTTTAATTCAGTTTGTAGCTGACGATAACCCTGATCATTTGCCTCCGCCTCCCAAGTGCCAGCATTCTCTGACATTTGCCACTATGCCCAGTTTATGGGAGATGCTGGGGATTGAACCCAGGACTTCATACATGGTAGGCAAACACTCTACCAACTGAGCCACATCCCTGACTCCTCATAGGTTTTATTTCTTTATTCCAGAGAAAACCAGGTGGGCGAATGGAGAGAGGAAAGGCTATGCAAAAGAGGCTTGTGGTTCGCCACACAGGAGCTGGTGGGCAGAGCAGGGAAGGGCAGTGAGGTCAGCCTTGACATTGGACTCGGCTAGGTTCACCCTCCTGTCTCTCCCGAGAGAGAGAACTCACTACTTTGGAGCCCCTGAATGTCATCCAGATTGACACAAGCAGGGTGTTTTGTTAGACAAGGACATTTATCCCTCGGGGCATTGATTTTCTAAAGTTATTTGAACAGCAGAACCTTTCCTCCCATTGAAAGTGTCTTCAGAAGCCCAGACAAAAGCAGAGCTGCTCTGGGGAGGAAGAGGTGGGGGCCAGAGTCCTGGCTCCTTGGTCTCCCCGCTCCAGCCTGCAGGCGAGCCCCAAGGCACGGTCCCCTGAAACTGCCGGCTGGTTTGAAGTCTTCTGCCCCCAGAGTGGGTGCTAAGACCTGAGTCCCAGAAAAGGGGGCCTGAGCAGAGGGGAGAAGGTCCAAAGCCAATGTTCCTGTACCCACCCCAGGGTCAGACCTGCCCAGGACCAGTATCCACAGCCTGCGACTCTTTTTGAGAAAAGATGGTGTGTGTATGTGTGCAAGCACCTGTGTTTGTGTGGGGGCCAGAAATCGTCTCGTAGGAGTTGGTTGTCTCTTTCCACTATGCGGGCTCTGGGCTCTTAGGCTTTACCCACTGAGAGCCAGGAACAGGAGCAGCTCCTCTAGCTGGCCACAATACACCAGAAGCCAGCAGTCCCCTAAGGTCTGTCTGACCTCAGGCAGACCTTCCCTCACCTTGGTGGCTCTGGCCTCACCAGATGAACACAAGGATTTAGTGTCCGGGACCACTGTACCTGATTACGGCACAGCCAGACCCTTTCAGATCTTGCTTCTCCTGTGTACTGCCCGGGTGACCTTTGACGGGTTACCTTCATATAAAATTGGAGAATGGTTCCCAGCCCCGTAGCATGACTGTGAGCAACAAACGGATAATCTGTAGAAAAGACTTGGGGCAAGGCTGGTAGGCAGAGGTGCCACCTGCCTGTGACCTGTTCTGTTATTGTCCTTACTTCTGTCAGCACGGTCAGTTCGTGCATACAGTCACCCATTTGCCATCCAGCTGGTATTATTAAGCACCTACTGTGTACCAGGCTCTCTGCTTCGCCTTGGAATAGCCGTGCCAGTCCTGGCCTTGTCCTTAGTGGGCAGGTCAAAGAGTGTGAACCACTGCAGATCAAGCTGGTTCAAGTGTGAAAGAGGATAGGCCAACCTGAGGGCCAAAATAAATATTGCAGAGGGTGTGGTGGACCAGGGGTTGGTGTGCAGTAGACACTAGGGGAGGAAGGGCTTGGTGAGCGCAGACCCGTTGACTCCTAGGAAGAAAGTGCCGGGGAGGAGAATGCTGTAGCATCTCCCTGTGTCTGCTGGGGCAGCTGTGGACATTACAGAGAGAACAGTGGAGAAGAGGCTGGGAGCACACAGAGGCTGAGACTGGGTCCTGCTGAGTTTGTGCCACCTACTGTGGCGTGGCCAGGCTTGCAGAACCACGTGGGAGTCTATTCCACATCACCCAGCAGCAGTAGCTGCCCCTGCCTGACTTCACACATGTGCGGGCAGCATTCCAGTCGCTGCTTAACTCCAGAGCAGCACTGCCCTCTGCCAGCTAGAGGCCTGGGGCTCCGCAGCGTGGAGTGCGTCTCCGTTCCCAGGGCTGCAGCTGGGTCTGTCTGTCCCTAAAGCTACACCCTTTGCAGACCTCCCAGCAGATTAGTTGGGAAGACCGGAGCAACCAGATCAGCGTTTGCTGTGGCCGATGAAATGTTCCTTCAGGACTTTGTCCAGGCTTCCCATCCCCATAGCCTCACAATGAGGGAAGGATTAGTGTTTGCCTCAGAAGCAGAGAGGCCACGGGGTTAGTGACTGGGTGAACTGGTCCCAAGCTGGAGAATGACTTCCAGACGGAAGGCAGCCCAATGCACTGGCACCTCCAGCCTGCATCCAGGGATCCTCAGAATCTGGTCCATTTATCACACCCTGTGGCCATTGCTGGGGACTGTCGTTCCTTCCTGTGCTTGGAATACAGGCTCTGACCCTCTTTTCTTCCTTAAAGATTTGTTTTGTTTTATATATATGAATATTTACCAGCATGTATAGTGCCCATGGAGGTCCGAAAAAAGCATGAGATGTCTCCAGTACTGGAGTTTCAGATGGTTGTAAGCTGCCATGTGGGTGCTGGAAACCAAATCTGGGTCCTCTGCAAGGACCTTTTATTTCCCTCCCTAACTTCCTCCCTTCCTCCTTCCTTAACAAAATCTCCTGTATCCCAGGTTGGCCTGGAACTCCCCTAGCTATTCCCTTGGGGAGTCAAACCCAGGAGCTCACGCATGCTAGACAAGCTCTCTGCCAACTGAATGGCATCCCTAGCCCCAGCCCTGCCCTCTTACTAATCTCCTCACCAGCTGCCTCACCTTGGGTCATTCCACACCAGTTTGTTCAGTCTCTCCAGTGCAGGTCTGACCTTCAGCCAAAGCCACAGGGCTTCAAGATAAGGCTTTCCTGGCGCTGAGAGGTAGACAGACGTCCTAGACCAGCCTCGGGAGGCAGAGGGCTTAGAATGAGGGAGCTAGGAACTAAGCTCAGTTTCTAGTGCCTAGCTCAGTTCTTAGCTTAGTTCCTATACAGTTGTGCATGCTCCTCAACCCAAGGGAAGTTCTAGAGCTGGGCTGGGTGAGGACATCTGCCCTGCAGCCTGCCTCGAGGCCTTTGTACTCCTGACCCGAAAGACGAGTCTTCGGCTGTGATCTGCCCTTAGGGAACATCAAGACCTTGGTCAAGAAGACCTCTTCCATTGGTAGAACTGTGTGTTCCTAGCACCCAGGGCAGCTTGGGCATCCAGTTCCTTGATCTAGGGTCCACTGGCATCCATGACAGTGACACAGTGGTTAGCAGCTGATTGGTAAGCTCCAGGCTTGGGGGGGGGTCCTGCAGAATTCCTGGCAAGCCACCACATCTCGCTGAGCCTCAGTTTCCCCTTTGAAAATAGTACAGAATATTTTCCTCTCACAGAACTTTGGATTAAATTGGAACATTTTTAAGGGGACCATAGCATGTCAGTGCTCACTGCTGACGTCATGGTCAGTGGGGTATGTGACAAAAGGTGTTAGAACATTGGCTGTGGAGTCAGATAGCCCTGGTCTGAACTGGACCTGCAGACAGGCAGCCACCCATCTGAGTCTTGGTGTACCCCTAACTTAGCGGGGCATCACTGAGGGACCGATGAGATCAGCACACATGTTGTCATAGCCAAGACAATGTCCACAGCACCTTGGATATCACAACCCGGGGGCAGGACCCTGTGAGCTGATGCTGAACAAGTGGACAGTGTCTCTCTCCAGGACTCTTTAGAATCATTGCCCTACCCTGCCTGTGCAGGTACACAGTGTTCTTCAAACACATTGTGGCTAACTCCAGTCTGCTTACAGTCTCCATCCAACCCTGTCTCCGGGGATTGCACCAAGTTCCCTAGACTGGCATTTGTAAATACTCTGCTGTATTGGTGTTCTAGTTCCAAAAATGTCAACGTGTTAAGAAAGTTAGGTAGGTGCAGAAATGAAAAGGAATATTGCTGTAAGATAGCTCTCATGGCCCTACAAAACCATCATCTTGGGGCCGAAGAGGTGACTCAGCAACTAAGAGCAACAGTTCTCTTCCATAGGACCCAGGTTCAATTCCCACCTACCCACAGGGTGACTTAGAACTGTATGTAATTGCAGTCCCAGCACATCCAAAACCCTCTCTGTCCTCCAGTGGCACCAGTTGTGCCCATGGTGCTGACACGCATGAAGACAGAGCACCCTTACATGTAAAATAAGAATCAAAAACAAAAACAAAGCATCATCTCACAGCCCGGCATGGCATAGCATACCTGTAATTCTAGCACTCAGGCAGCCAAGGCAAGATCAAAAGTTCAAGGCCAGCCTGGACTGTATCCAGAAACCCTGTCTCTAAACAAAACAGTAAACAAAAACACCTTGCTGCATTAGTATAGTGTATAACTTTGCAGCTACAAAACTGTGTTGAAGTTATTCTTTCACAAAATATATTTACTTTACCAGGAGATCGTGGCACACGCTTTTAATCCCAGCACTCGGAAGGCAGAAGCAGGTGGATCTCTGTGAGTTCGAGGCCAGCCTGGTCTACAGAATGAGTTTCAGGACAGTCAGGGCTGTCTTGTGGGGGGCAGTCATGTGGCTGGGGTGTAGCTAGCTCAGAGAGTGCTTAGCTTGCACAATCTTGGCTAAGGGTTCTAGGTTCGATCTCCAGCACTATAGAAACAAAACAAGAAAGCTGGGCGGTGGTGCCGCACGCCTTAAATCCCAGCACTCGCCGGGAGGCAGAGGCAGGCGGATCTCTGTGAGTTCAAGGCCAGCCTGGTCTACAAGAGCTAGTTCCAGGACAGGCTCCAAAGCTACAGAGAAACCATCTCAAAAAAACACAAACAAAACAAGAACACAATGCGTTTGTTGGCCCTGTCTCCAATGTGTCATACAAAGTGGTCTGACATCTGAGGGAGTAGCGGGAACTCGATGAGGCTGCGCAGGGACAGTGGTCTCACAGCTCGGAGACAGGAGGGATATGGGGTAGATGTCTCAGTCATTTTCTTTAAATTCATTGACATATAGTAATTTTTTTTTCAAATTGAGTCTCATGTAGACCAGACTGGCTTGGACCTCATTGTGTGGACTGGGACAACCATGAATTTCTGTTTCTCCCGCTTCTACTGCCCTAGCGGTGGGCTAATAGGCATACAATGGTACCATGTTACACGCAATGCTGTGTCATCTGTTCTTCCCTTTCGTGTTCACTCAGGTGTTTGTTTATGATTTCCTCCCCCCCCCCCAGAGTCTCATTATGTAGACCAGGCTAGCCTCTCACTCACAGAGCTCCATCTGCTTGTAC